AACCAACCCTTACAGAAATTTCTGATAAGTGACTTATAAGTGATTTATTCTTTTACTTATAAGTTGTTTATTCTGGACTTACACTTCACTGATACATTAACTTATAAGTGACTAATTTGTTACTCATTAGGATTTTATATGCAAATGAGCTAACATAAGTGACTTATAAGCCAGTATTAGCCACTTATGCTTTATGCAAGTATAGTCACTTATAAGTGACTATAAGTGACTTATAAGTCAAGCATAAACTCTTCATACTTTATCAAGTATTAGTCACTTATAAGTGACTATAAGTGACTTATAAGTGAAGTACAACACTACCTGTAAGATCTTAATTTAGAACAGAACTTCCAACCATGCAGGTGTTGCATGATATGTTCAAAGCTATTTTTTTACATATACACATGTATCTGCACTTTAGATGAAATAATCAAGTAAAAATTTTATGGAAAAAAAATCACTTTCATATGACATTTCTTTGATGATGCAAACTTAACATATTAATTCAGTTTAATTCAGTTTATTAATTCAGTTTATTAATCCAGTATATTAATTCAGTTTACAAACAAAAATGTTGAACAAAAAGGCAACAGGATTTAATGAGCTTGAGGCTTCTTCAAATTTATGAAATCTGAAAGCAACTGAGTCAATTGATTCAAAATTTCAGGCAAAGGAAGTTAAAATAGAGAGATGATGTAAATATAGAACCTACTTGTTGTACCTGATGTGAAGGCATACTCAAAATAAATCTAAAATCTCAAACATCCTTTCACAGACACAAACTTGGTTTCAAATTCTTGTTGCTGATCTCTGCAGAGACAAACTTTCTGATTGGCTACCTTGAATACCCATAATGCTCCTTGAGAGAAGTCTAGTATAGGGTAAAAATTATAAGTCCACACTTATACTTCGCTCATACCATACTGATCTTCACTTATAAGTGAGGTATAAGTGAAATATTCACTGATATGTAGCTCATCTTTACTTATAAGTGAAGTATTAACGAAATCCGTTCCTCACTTATACTTACTTTGACTTATAAGTAAATTTCAAAATTTATAAGTGACTTATAAGTTGCTAATAAGTGGATTATAAAACACTTATAAGTTCTTATTAGTTTTTTCTGTAAGGGAAAGTCAATTTTTGGAAAGTTGTTTCATGATACTCAGGTGACCTATAAGGCCCGTGGGCCTCTTGTTAACTAAAATCTTTATATTATGACTCGGATAAACATGCAATATTCTTGATAACAGTTTTGATGTTGACAGAATTAATGATACTTTTTAAAGAAATATTTAGCACAGTTTTCAATTTTCATATGTACAGTACAGGAAAAATGACATTTCATATACAGGTGAAAATAAAATGAAGGGGTCTGAGCATACTTATAGATGAGAGTTTATTCAAAGTATTGATTCTGAGATGGTCATGTCATATATATATACGAGGGCCGATCAAAAATTACGCGGACTCTGCTATTATTTTCTCTTACAGACGTCATATAGTTATGAAATTTCACAGAAATATGTATCTTAAAGATTCCAATAAATTAGGGAAAAAATTTCTGTATTTTAAAAAAACTATACTTAAATTATCGGTATATTGATATCGCTGATGGAGAGGTACGGCGCACGACAAAAAAGTTGAAGCAATAGCATGCGGAATCCAAAATTTAACTCATTCATTTTCTATAATTCGCGATATTTTTCGACAATTTTCTCAAATATATCTTTAAATTGTTCTATTATTATGTATTTAGATTTCTGACATGATATTTGAAGTACTAAGAGAAATATAGTGGTTTTTCTCCGATGCGATTCCCGTGAAAACGACTGTGAAAATGACGTCTCCTAAATTGACGGCGCACCACACTTTTTAGCTCACCTCAACGAAGTTGGGGGAGCTTATGTAATACCCTCGGCGTCGGCGTCCGTGTCGGCGTCGGCGTCCCAGGTTAATGTTAAGTTTTTTGGAGCAGTTTTCTTTTTAAGTACTTCTATGTCCTATATTGATTAGACATGCATGGAAGATGGTTCTAGTGTGTTTCTTTGTACCAGTCAAAGTTTCAGATGCTGCAGTTTCGGCAAAGGAATGACCAGGTTAATGTTTTTGGAGCAGGTTAACATTTTTGGTGCAGTTTTTGGTTTAGATTTCATTTCCAAGTAACTATAAGCCCTATGTTGACCAAACTTGCATGGATGATACATCTAAGGATGCATACTACCGGGCTTGCTTCGGATGCTGAATCTGACCTACATTTTCCGGTTGAGTGAACAGGTTAAAGTTTTTGGTTCAGGTTTCATTTCCAAGTAACTACAAGTCCTATGTTGACCAAACTTGCATGGATGATACATCTAAGAATGCATACTACCGGGCTTGCTTCGGATTCTGAATCTGACCTACATTTTCCAGTTGAGTGAACAGGTTAAAGGTTTTGGTGCAGGTTTCATTTCCAAGTAACTTTAAGCCCTAAGTTGACCAAACTTGCATGGATGATACATCTTAGAATGCATACTACCGGGCTTGCTTCGGATGCTGAATCTGACCTACATTTTCCGGTTGAGTGAACAGGTTAAAGTTTTTGGTTCAGGTTTCATTTCCAAGTAACTATAAGCCCTATGTTGGCCAAACTTGCATGTATGATACATCTAAGGATGAATACTACTGGGCTTGCTTCGGATGCTGAATTTGACCTACATTTTCCAGTTGAGTGAACAGGTTAAAGGTTTTGGTGCAGGTTTCATTTCATATATTTAAGCCCTAAGTTGACCAAACTTGCATGGATGATACATCTAAGGATGCACACTACTGGGCTTGCTTCAGATGCTGAATCTGACCTACATTTTCTGGTTGAGTGAACAGGTTAAAGTTTTTGGTGCAGGTTTCATTTCCAAGTAACTATGAGTTCTTTAATGACCAATCTTGCATGGATGATACATCTAAGTATGCATACTACCAGGCTTGCTTCGGATGCTGAATCTGACCTACTTTTTGTGGATGAGTGAAAATGTTAGTTTTTGATGCATGTTTCATTTCCAATTAACTATGAGCCTTATAATGAGTAAACTTGCATGGACGATACATCTTAGGATGCACACTAATGGACTTGCTTCGGATGCTGAATTCGACATACATTTTTCAGATAATAGACCAGGTAAAAGTTATGGTTGCAGGTCTTTTTCCAAAAAACTATAAGGCTAATATAACATAGTATAAACCAAACTTGCACAAATGTTGCATCAAGAGATGAAAACTCTCAAATTGCTTCAGATGCTGGATTTTGATTACATTTTCATTAAGAAGAACTAGTTTAAATTATTTATGTAGGTCTATTTCAAAGTATCAGATCAAAATTGCTTAAATATTTTCATTTTTGGAATGTACACATTTTTGTTGGTTAATTGTGTGACTTTGCCTTACTTAAAGACAACATTCATTGAGGTGAGCTCTGTAATCTCTGATTACCTATGTTTTAAATTTATGTGTTATGCTCGAGATATCGCCAATATATATCCAAAATATGCATAATAAAACATGTAGTAAACTAGGGTATTCGTAACATTCGTCCACAAATGGCAAATTGAAATTTTAGACCGTTAGACCTCTGTATAAACTATAAAGGTTATACGAGAGTACGGGAAGAAGATTATCGACGAAAACTTTGTCCGGACTGTAAAGAACGCGATTGAGAGTCACCAATATCACACTATATCTCATAAATACCTGCAGTTTTTGGTTTTAAAACAAAAAAAAGAATATTCTTTACCTGTTTAATAGATTTTAAGCTTGAAAAGAAATGGTGTTTGGATGTTGAGTAGATAAAGTAACTCAAACTGTACATGAAATCTTGGGAAAATGTTGAGAACATGAAAGCTTGATCACAAATTTTTTTATTATAATTTCTGTGACGTGGAAGATTTTGCTGCTCCGTGACACAATGATATGTCCTGATAAATCACTCAAAATTGATACCAATTTACAACATTTTGATATGAAATTTTGAAGACCATATAAGTAAAGATTCATTTATATTATGTGTAACATTTTGCCCGATTATGTCGTCAAATATTTTTTCTGTGCAACAAGTCCGCGTAATTTTTGAACGGCCCTCGTATTTAAAATAGATATGAAATTCAGACAAATTTCAAAGTCCACCAATTATTTCCTTTAAGTCAGTGTGTTAATTTATGTGGTTGTCAATGCACATATCAATAAATTCAGACAAGTTTTCCCTGTGGGATTGTACTCCTATATAGTTTTTACACTATAGTGTATTTCTAGGAACTGGTCCATTTCCCTGAGGAAGTAACCTCGTCACACTGGACTTCCTCTCAGCCGACTCGAGTACTTACGTTACTAATACTTCTACTACTACATCTAGATACTTATAGTCATGCAAATGTAGCACAGTATCTTAGTCCCACTAAAGTATAAACTGAATAAACACTTCTCTAGTCTATTACAAGTTTGTTTTATTACAATCATGCATACAGTCATGCCACTTGCTTAGTAGCAAGGGTCTCAAAAAAGTACTTACATGTAGTTCTATTAGATGCCCATAAATACCAATTTGGTCCCTCTCACAAAATTTTAGGTATATGTATCAGTTTGGATTTTAATTTAAGATCGAATAGTATGGTATTTTGTTTATTTAAACAATTTTATTTTTATTGAAAATTTTATTTTAAAAAAATATATGAAACATAAAAAAGATAAGTCAATTTGTTTTGAAAATGATGCTTCCTAAATCACAATTGAGAAAATATTTAGCCTATTACTTAAAAAAGCTGCCAAACTAGGTCAGAGGTGCAGTTTTAGAGATAAGGTACACTTTGTAGTTAATTTTTGTTGACTCAGACCCAACCCAATAACTCGGAGTCCCTCACCGAGATTTGTCAACTGAGGCATAGCCCGGGACAAATTACAGACAACTAGCCTTAAACCACATGCAGTAAATGTGGCAATGAGTATTTAATTTTGTGTAATTGTGTGGGCCGACCGACTTAATTAGACAGATAGTAGGATTAGTCGTCCTGTAAAGTTGGAGGATGTACGTGTGATTAGATTCCCCCATGCCGTGCCCCATTGACTCACCTGGGTTCGTGACCCACATCCTGTCAGAGTCTGTGGACAGTAAACAAGTTCTCTAGATTTAACTGCCTCCCCTTGTGTGTGTGTTGTGTTGTTGTTGCATTCCTTTAAACTTAAATAATCTTTTAAAGGTTGTGTTTCGGAGTATATTTTTTACTTTTACACTAATCAGTAAGTCATTGTACTTTTTCTTATTATTTTTTTTTTTTTACTTGAAATTTAATTTAGATGTATTTACCTTGAATTTTTATTTATTTAAATATGAAGTTTGTAGGTTATTTAAAATCTCATGCAAATATGTATCTTGTATTTTCTTTGTGCCTTAAATGTGTGTATTGATTATGAATCCTGCTCTGCATATAAATATATATAATCATGATATACATCTGCTGTCAAAAGTTGGATTATTCTAGTGTGACGTGACAAATACAATTTGATTTACCGCAAGGAAGTATTTCTCATACAAAAACTTGTGAGTTTGTGAAAAATCAGTGTAAATCTCACTGAAATATTACAGGAAGTTTGACTGTAGCCTGGATTTGCTGAGTGAAAAACTTTTTAAATTCTTTTTGCATTTTTTGTCAGCTTGAGTCTAAAATGGCAACAAAAGTGGCCCCTGAATTGTTGAAAGATGTGCGAGCGGAACACCAGCTTACCCACGTAAAAACGGAGGAAAAGAACCCCCTCCCCTCCGCAGAAGGTAAGAATTTACACAATCACTGCAGTACAGAATGTTACCTAGTATCTTACGACAGGGTTTTATTGTTACTATCTCATGTAACCTTATGTTAACCAATAAATCCATAGGGAGCTGTAATACAAATATTTTTAATGTGGTAAATGGATTCTTATAGTGGAACACTGTTTATGAAATCTCAAAGACAAAAAGTGTTTGTCAGCACACAATCATTTAGAAGACATCAAGTGGTCATGTATTAGATCAGTTTAAAAACAGCTGGTGTCTTTATATTGGTTCATCTAACTGAAAGACAACAGTTGTCTGAATTAGATCATTTTAAAGACAGCAAATGTCTGCGAATTATGTCATCTAACCTAAATGACATGAAGAGTTTGTGTATTAGATCATTCTTAAGACAACAAGTGTCAGGGTATTAGATCATTTAAAAAAAAACAAAACAGATGGAGCCATAGATCTTTTGAAACTTCAAAAAAAATAGGTTTTAAAAGTTACATGTGTGTGCATTAGATGATGGGGAAGGTAGTATCAGAATAATGTTTTGGATCTCTCTCTGGCTTACAAGGTTGTTGGTTGTTAAACATTCGGTTTATCTTCAGTACTTAATCTTGCACAATGTTTGCAGGGAGATGTTATTATGTAACAGTTTTAAGGGGGTGGAGAGATGTCATGATTGAGAAATTACAAATGTCGGAAAACGTTTGAAGGGCTCTCACAGGGGATTGCGTGCTAGCTGTATAATTAGAGAATTTGCATGGAGAGAAAGGCTTGTTTTGATGGGGACCTTTCCCACCTGTGGACCTGGTATCTAGGACTGTCTCAATAGACTATCCACCTGAATCAGGTACATAGGACATCTCTCCGTGGAATGTTTCACCTGTCTGACGGGAGGTTGGTCCATTGTGTCATACAGGTGTAAATGTGATGGATAATTACTCTCTCACTGGATAAACTGTTTTACCTGGCCAGGTATATAAGTGCAGGCCTGTGACAGAATTGAGTAGATATGTTATTGTATAAAGCACAGATTGGCACCAGTTCTGTCAACTTGGATCACTTCTTCTTTACTGACCAACCGTGAGGACATTAAGGGGCCTAAATACAGGGACACACCGAAGAGTCCAGTCATATACATATATACATAGATGTACAGACACATTAGCAGTAAACAATAGAAAGTAGTGCAAGACTAGCTCAATAGTTAGATTAGAAAAATGAATTCTGATTTATTATCAAATCAGTACATGCAGTAATTATTTTGTAAATTGAGACTAAATGGGTTACATTGAAACATAAATATCAAAGAGGGCGTACAATTTTCAGTACAATATTATAATCCATATTTTACAACATTTAGATATATAACCACGATGGGGGAAGTGTTGAAAATTGTATTGATAGCTGGTTTCAAGTTTTCTGGTTTGAACTTTCAGTAATGAGTTTGTTACAGCTAAACTAATTCTTAAGATGAGCAGATTTTTAGACGATTTCCTGCTAAAGGTCACACTAGATCCTAGTACAGCTCAGTAAGTTTGGGGTCTGTCATCTCAATAACCATCTCAAGGAAGATTAGGGGGGATGAAAGTGTCATCTTACAAACTAACAGCTCAAGGAAGAGTATGGGGTGATGAGTTAGTGAGAGACTGTCATCTCACATCTAACCATCTCAAGGAAGAGATACACAGGATAAGCGAATACGATAGAATCCTGACCTCTGTATAGAACAGGAAAACAGGCTTATGGTTTTCTCTGAAGGAAAAGGGGAAGAAAATATCAAGGAAATTATAAAGAATTATTTTAACCTTACAATATCAATTTTATTTAAATTTGGAGTATTCATATTTCCCTGTACATTTATTAATTGTAAACATTCCTGTTACACAGAGTGGTTTATATATTGATTACAAATTACGATCTCTACAGGAAGAACCTGCACACAACAGATCATTTATTGAGGATTCACCACTGAGATAAAGTTTTAAATTCCCCGACCCTGCTGTGGTTTACAGCTTTAATCTGCCCACTCAGTGTCTGATTTATCTGTAATTACTCCCATTATGGCTACATGTCTAAATGTTGTAAAACAGGGATTATAATGTTGTCTACACAGATTTAGAATTATGCGAATAAGAATTTGTTTATCGTGCACACCAATTGAAAATTTTTCAACGCAGATGCAAAATATAAATCATTTATTTTGCATACTTTATATTCTTCAATTGAGGGATGATTTGAAAATTTAATAAATCTATATACGTATATTAGACTGCTTTCACCTTGCAATTAAACTTTTTTTTTAAAGAGAAGAACTGAAATTTAAGTTAGAAATGTCCTAATTTAAACCACATATTATCCCTATGGCACCTCCTATTCTTGGGGAAGTACTGCATCAAAACTATTCCAAATATGAACTGCGCTTTCATATTAGAGAGTGTAATTCTAGGGCAAAAGGGCGTGCGACATATCTAAGATCCTTGTGTCAGACATTGTATTAAATAACCTGTATATTACAGTGAAACTCGAGAATATTTAGCCATTGTTCACTTTACTATCTAGATACAATGGATGGCCCACTTCAATCATTTCATGCCTCATGAACTACAAAATATCAAGGACATAAATCTCAGTGTATATAAATCCTTACAATTAAGATTTTATGTTTTAAATAATACACAAATTCAATTTTAAGTAGAAAGAGAAAAAAAGTTATGGAACATGACAATTATGAAAAGAAATTAAGAAAATTAAGAAAATTGGGTAATTATGGACTGTAGCTACTATATAGCCTTGGCTAGCAAAGATGATCCCTATAGACTACAGCTACAGTCAATTGAGTATGTTGGAAGCTTTTTACTATAGATGTAGAAGTACAGTATAATAGTGAGAGACATACATTTCACTAATTGTATTGGTGTAGTAAGCTTTAATAAGCTGTGTTTGTAGAATTGTAGCTACAGTCATTGTAACTAAGTATGTAGTAAGCTATAAGCTCTCTTTGTAGACTTGTAGCTACAATTGATTCAGATTGCTATTGAGTGTGTAGCAAGCTTTTAAACATTTTATTACAGTAAGCTAGAAAGAGGTACAGTCCATTTCTAGTAATCATGTAGTAAGCTATTATCTGTAGACTTGTAGCTACAGTCATTGCGATTGTGTATGTACTAAGCTATTAGCTGTATTTGTAGCTAAAGTCATTGCTATTGAGTATGTAGTAAGCTATTAGCTATATAGCTACAGTCATTGCTATTGAGTGTGTAGTAAGCTATTAGCTATATAGCTACAGTCATTGCTATTGAGTATGTAGTAAGCTATTAGCTATATAGCTACAGTCATTGCTATTGAGTATGTAGAAAGCTATTAGCTATATAGCTACAGTCATTGCTATTGAGTATGTAGTAAGCTATTAGCTATATAGCTACAGTCATTGCTATTGAGTATGTAGTAAGCTATTAGCTATATAGCTACAGTCATTGCTATTGAGTATGTAGTAAGCTATTAGCTATATAGCTACAGTCCATTGCTATTGAGTATGTAGTAAGGTATTAGCTGTATAGCTACAGTCATTGCCATTGAGTGTGTAGTAAGCTATTAGCTATATAGCTACAGTCATTGCTATTGGGTGTGTAGTAAGCTATTAGTTGTATAGCTACAGTCATTGCTATTGAGTATGTAGTAAGCTATTAGCTGTCTCTGTAGACTTGCAGCAGGAGAAATGTCATGAAGAACTCCTTCAGCATGTGGAGACATTCGATTCACAACAGCTTCATCGGACTCGCACCAAGGAGCGAGCCATGCTCCCCGACTCCAGTAGTGAGTTCAGTCCCCTGTAGTGAGTTTAGGCGTGACAACTAACAGTTTTATATCAGGAGTGAAGGACTTTATAACCTCACACTGTGTAGTGCGCTACGTGTTAATGGAAATTTTTTCTCTCCACAGTTTTCATCTTTTAGCCAGACACTATATACTTTACACTGCCTGCACTTTTTCATTTGTCTTTCTTGTAGTAAGGATTTTCTATCTCTGTAGTACCCAGCTCTACTTTAAGTATATACAGACCAAGTATTTCTTTAAACTAATAAGTTTAACCTTTCTAAGCTAGTATAAAGTTTCTTCTTTCCTTGTTATTTGAAGTAATTCATCTAATGTAAATATTTTATAAATTAGAAACAGATTTTCTCTGCTACATATAGTAATCGGTACAAATTCTCATGGAATTTGAAAAAATAGGAAGAAACTGCTTGAGGCTGTTTTAGAAAAATGCGTAATTGCCTGGATATTTTTATACGGAGTTCACTGTCCTTATTTGGCTCTTACTTATATCACTGATATCAATGAAAGGCTCATTTTAAAATTTGGAAAGAATCCAAATTTATATTTATGCAATGATATCTAAGTGAATTACAAAATAAAGGGGAAAATGATTTAAGGTTGATGAAACAAATAACTTAAGTTAAAGCATTAGAGAAAGGCTAATAGACTTAAGCATTAGAGAAAGGCTAATAGACCTTGTGAGAAAATAAGTTTGATTTATAATTTATGTAAATGTAAACAATTACAGTAAGACTTGCTACGAGGGAATAGCTGGGGACAACAGATTAAGTTTTTTATGATCAAGGTTGCTTGTAAACACATACAGAAGTTTATGTTTAAAATTGTGTTTATATATATGGAATTTTAAAGATGCTTTAGGAGAGCTTGTATATATATGTAAATGTAAACTAACTCTCTGTTAATATTGTACGATTTTTATACTTTGATCTTTAATAGAAAATATGTTAAAGAGGAAAAAAGGATAAAGAAGACATGTTATTCATCATGTTCATATTTCACTTTTTTCAGTGCTTGAGTGCGTTGTTCTGTTTTGTTGTGATGGTTGATATAAAGATGCAAAAACGATATTTTTCTGCCCCAAACACTCAATTTCATTTAATGAACAAAAAATTAATGAAGATTAAAATAATGTTTACATGCATGAATGTTTTACTTGAATTATCTTTTATATCAATTCTGTATTTACACAAGCTTTGCTTTACAAGCTTTTATATCTTGCTTGCATGGCCAAATTCTTTGCAGTGCTTCTAGAAGAAAAAAATAGAGAGCGACATCTGAATAGCATTAGTGAGTTCCTCAAAAGTGAACTTCGACCCACAGAACCGCTGGAAAAAGTAGTCCTTCCAGACATCAGCAGTAGGTCTTACTTCTGTAGAAGTATTCAGTGTTTGTACACAGAGAAACTAACAAGATAACCTGTGTTTAACACCCTAGTAGTAACCTTCAATATGACCTCGACCTAGTGTTGTACACTAACAAGTCTACTAGTATTGTACACAGTTAAACACTAACAAGTCCACTTGTGTTTCACTCCCAGAGTTAAATACTAACAAATCGGCTAATATTGTACGCCCGGAATTAAACACAATTAGTAACCTAGTGTTGTATACCCAGAGATAAACACTAAGGCCACCAAGTCTACTACAGTTGTATACAGAGTTAAACAAGAACAAGTCCATATGTGTTGCATAGCCAGAGATAAACACTAACAAGTCCACTAGTGATGTACACCCAGAGGTAAAAATAAATCAACTAGTGTTGTACACCAAGAGATAAACACTAACAAGTCAACTAGTGTTGTACACCCAACAGTTACACACTAACAAGTCAACTAGTGTTGTACACCCAAGAGTTACACACTAACAAATCAACTAGTGTTGTACACCCAGAGTTACTAACAAATCAACTAGTGTTGTACACAAAGAGTTACATACTAACAATTCAGCTAGTGTTGTACACCCAGAGTTACACATTAACAAGTCAACTAGTTTTGTTCACCCAGAGGTAAAAATAAGTCAACTAGTGTTGTACACCCAGAAATAAACACTAACAAGTCAACTAGTGTTGTACACCCAGAAATAAACACTAACAAGTCAACTAGTGTTGTACACCCAGAGTTAAACACTAACAAGTCAACTAGTGTTGTACACTCAGAGTTAAACACTAACAAGTCAACTAGTGTTGTACACTCAGAGATAAACACTAACAAGTCAACTAGTGTTGTACACCCAGAGATAAACACTAACAAGTCAACTAGTGGTGTACACCCAGAGATAAACACTAACAAGTCAACTAGTGGTGTACACCCAGAGATAAACACTAACAAGTCAACTAGTGGTGTACACCCAGAGATAAACACTAACAAGTCAACTATTGGTGTACACCCAGAGATAAACGCTAACAAGTCAACTAGTGGTGTACACCCAGAGATAAACACTAACAAGTCAACTAGTGTTGTATACCCAGAGTTAAACACTAACAAGTCAACTAGTGGTGTACACCCAGAGATAAACACTAACAAGTCAACTAGTGTTGTACATCCAGAGTTACACATTAACAAGTCAACTAGTTTTGTTCACCCAGAGATAAACACTAACAAGTCAACTAGTGATGTACACCCAGAGGTAAAAATAAGTCAACTAGTGTTGTACACCCAGAGTTAAACACTAACAAGTCAACTAGTGTTGTACAGCCAGAGATAAACACTAACAAGTCAACTAGTGTTGTACATCCAGAGATAAACACATACAAGTCAGCTAGTGTACATCCAGAGTTAAACACTAACAAGTCAACTAGTGTTGTACACCCAGAGTTAAACACTAACAAGTCAACTAGTGTTGTACACCCAGAGTTAAACACTAACAAGTCAACTAGTGTTGTACACCCAGAGTTAAACACTAACAAGTCTACTAGTGTTGTACACCCAGAGTTAAACACTAACAAGTCAACTAGTGTTGTACATCCAGAGATAAACACATACAAGTCAACTAGACTAAGTGTTTTTACATTTAGCAATATTTTTTTTTGAAACGATAGAAATCCATTGAAATCTTCTGTTTTATTCAACAGCTGCTTATAAGAGTCTTCAAAGCACTAGATTTAATATGATTTTTTTTTAGCAAATAAAGAACCATACTGACAAAGTATAAATTATGGAATCCAGTCTGGCTCTTGTTAGTTAAGTAGCTGTAAGCATTAAATGTAACAAGTTGTTGACAGGGCAGTATGAGTCAATGATCTGTCACAGCTGGTAAAATAATTCTCATGGATTACAAATTGCCGTCTATCTATTGAGGAAATGGTAAACAACATCTCTATCAGTATTAAAAAATACATCTACATAATTTAAATATAGAGAATTAAATAGAACAATGCGTAAATAATAAACAGCAAATCGATTAGCTATGACAAGGTTTATCAACTGAACATGCTTTAAATATTTTTGTTTATGACAAATCATTGGGAGGTGATGCAGTACAATTAACATGTGTAAGAAGATAAATTTCTTCATTGCATTAATTAGATGATACTATCCAATGTGTGCCCCCTATCCCCCATTTTATGCCCTCTCCTTCAAACAGAATTCAAAGGCACAAAGTGTTTGGTCTGTCTGCTTGCCCATAAAAACATTGTCCCTAACTTTTAATTGGTTAGGGCTAGAGCTTCCTTATTCTACATGACTGTTTTCATTGTGATGAGACTTTTCTTTTTGCCCCATGACCCTGATCTTGTAGTTTGACCTATTTTTGAAAATTTTTAACCCTACCATGAGCTGCTCTACAGGGGAATCAGTGTTTAGGCCATAATAAAAATATTCCGAGATTCTCATCCCCGCCCGCCCGATTTTTTACTCCCGCCACGATTTTTTTAATTTCTGTTTTTCTTCGTCTTAATTCTGATCGGGATCTGTATTCATCTACCATTCTACTTTCGTTTTAAATCCCGCAATGGTTTGACAGCTGAAAAGATGGTAATTGCTGTAATACATGCGTATATATTTTAAACAAGGGTCATTGGTTGAAAAAGATTGGTGATGATGTGAAGTAAGAGATAATTGAACCTTTACTATGACTTTTATTCAGGTATTGTATATAAAATTACACCGATTGACCAGGTCAATAAAAAATCTGCAAAATTGAAAAAATAAAAAATATAAAATAAAAGCCGCCCGCCCGCCTCAATTTTTAAAAAAATTCGGATGAGAATCTAGCAATTTATTTATTATGGCCTTAATAAACTCTTTTTTTTTTATATGAATCATGATTATTTTTCTCATAGTCAGATAATACTTATATGATACCTGACCTGGAAGTTCCTATTGTTACCTTGTATTTTATTATTATACCTCTGTAATTTGGATTACCTTGCCTGTTTTACCTGGGATTTTCTGATCTATTTATAGCTATTGCTCAGGAGAAGACAGAGGAGGAACTGAAGAGTGGGATAGAACAGTTTGATAAGGACAAGCTGAAACACCAGGAGACTGAGGAGAAAAACCCCCTCCCCGACCAAGACGGTAAGATATCTGAATAATAATCCCTCCCCAGCCAATACTAAATTAACTCAATAACCCCTCCCCGACCAAGACGGTAAGATATCTGTACAAGTACACCTCCCCCAGCAACACTAAATTTCCTCCCCAACCAACATGGTAAGATATCCCAATAAGTACCCCTCCCCACCCAATACTAAATCAACTCAATAACCCCCTCCCCGCTCAAGATGTTAAGATATCTGAATAATAACCCCTCCTGGACCAAGATGGTAAGATAACAAAAATAAGAACCCCTCCCAAGTCAGTATTAAATTAACTCAATAACCCCCTCCCAGACCAAGATAGTAAGTTATCCATTTAATAACCCCAATTCAATAACCCCTTCCCGACCAAGATGGTAAGATATCTGAATAATAACTGCTCCCCAGCCAATACTAAATTAACTCAATAACCCCTCCCCAACCAAGACGATAAGATATCTGAATAATAACTGCTTTCCAGCCAATACTAAATTAACTCAATAACCCACTCCCAGACTAAGATATCCATTTAAGTACCTCTCCTTAGCCAACACTAAATTAACTTGATATGAACAATTTCTTAAACGAGGTAAATTATTGACAAGCAAGTTGATGAAACAAGAATATCAACAGTCTCGTTTAAAGTCATCATTTCGTAAATTCTATGGTCGATACAATGACCTTGTCAGCAAATACAATTTATCATTGAGTCATATGCTGACTGACGTTTTTCATACCAATTGTTAGTCCATTATTTATACACTGAATTGACGACGGATTTTTTCCGTTATTTCCTGATCATGACAACGAGCACACGGCGGGTGTGACCGGTCGGCAGGGGATGCTCACTCCTCCATGGCACCTGATCCCACCTCTGATGTTTCAGAGGTCCGTGTTTGCTCTGCTCTTATTTTGTATATTGTTTAATGGACGTTGAGATTGAATACTGTTCGTTATCTCCATATCCTTCTTGATAACCATAAACCACTTTTCCCAGACATTGTTGCTACAAACAAACCAAAAAGTACACAAACAGATAAAACTTTGATCCAAGCATAACCAGATACATTGAACATTTTCCTAAAATTCAATTAGTGCTATTGTTAATTATCTATCATACAGGTCACAGACTTGTAGGATACTGCATAAATGGGGAGTCATTACTCTCACTAAAGATAGAGGAGTTAAACTCGGTCATAGTATTGATGACAAACTTGTTTACCAAATACAGACTTTCCCTCAGTGTTTGACTATTTCCAGGTTTATGGGTGTTAAATTGCGGGCCTTTATTTGAACAAGTCCAGATTAAACCCCTGTCCATTTATGATCTCAGTGCGGAGTTTTAGGGTTTCTGACTGATTTCTCGATCAGTCACTCAACTCTGATTATCTACAGGACTACATAAGACAACAGCTTGGTCAGTGCCCCTCTTAGTACATTAAACATGTACAGAATGATTGTTACGTTAAGCTGATGCGTAGATAATACACAGTCTTAGAGGAGGTAATACCAGCCTGTCAGTCGTTAAGGTACTGATCCTGAACACAACACTACACTTAAAAGGAAGGAAATGGTTCATATTACAAAGTTAAAGGAAACAAAGTACGTCTATGTTGTAGTACAGGCCTCCCCTAATGCCTTACCTTCAGTGCATTCTTTAATCTAACACATCTGCCCTACAGCCTGTACAAACCGAATTCTAACTAAAAAAGTACATAAAGTTTGGGTTTTTTGGAACCATTGGTTCAGGTATTGAAAGGATCTTTTTCAGATTTCTTTATATATTATGTCAGATTTAAAAACACTTATACTTAGAATTTATGATTGAGATATATATTTTTAATTGCTTCATGTGACAATTTCCTAATATAGCAATAGCAATCGAAAAAAGAGAAAAGGAAGTAAAAGAAGGAATTGAGAATTTTCCCAGGTGCAAGTTACGCCGAGCGAACACGGAGGAGAAAATCTCTCTACCGAGCTCAGAAGGTAGCTTCCATCTGATGCATGCTGGTCGCAGCCTCACTTTCAAATCTCCGACACTCTCAGAATATTTAGAATTATGATCTTGCACCTCTTTTTACCTACCAATATTGATTTATATACCTATAGTTTCAAGGATTATTACAGAATAACAAAAAAAATTGAATGAAAACATTATTATAGAAGTAATTAATTCCTTTCACTCAGTCAATAGAAAATATGTTTATTTTTTCCTTTTTTTCTTTTATATTCTTTTATTATGATTCATATTTTTATTTTTATATATTGCTTCACTTACAATTTTTTAAATATTTTTTTATTTTCTATTTTTATTTTCTATTTTACATTAGTTCTAACATGTTTTGTGCATTTTTGATGTGTATATTATATAGGTTCTGTTCGTGGACCTTCCCTGTGGGTTAATTTTAGATTTTCCTTGTTTAGGAACTCTTTCTGTTCAGGAAGAAAACCTCTCTTTTAGCAAGGTGTGATCTTGTAGATTGCAAACTCTGCAGAAAATTGTCATATGTGCACAGATTTAGTAACTTCAAATCATCAAATGTAGCTATATCAATTTGTTGGGATATTGACCTTTGGTTTGTCTTCCTGATATCTTTCAATGTTAGGGACTGGTCTACTGACATACTGTACACTAGTTTATTAAAATGACCCACAGCTAGATGCATATACATGTATAACATGTACCGTATATGTTAATGATAGACCAAGGCTCCAATATAATGATAATCATATTAACACATGGTTGTACATGTATCATCTGTATAGTTACACGTAGTCAAATATACTGATTATTTTGTTAATTTATGATAAAGTCAAGTACTTTAGATTATAGCTGTTACTTTCCTTGTTAATTTAGGTGATAAAAACCCCACACACATATATTGTTTAAAATGGACAAAAAAGTTTAAGATAGGGATGTTTTATTTTTGAAATTTTTGGGTGCCTTTGTAAATTATTCATTGTTTAAAACGTTATCATAAAAAAAACATTGCAATTGCAATTCATATTTATTTCAGAGCTGTCAGATTTTTTTTTCAGTCCAAGTTATTTAGTAAGGATAGTCTTTTTTCCCAGTCATGTAAATAAATGTACAAAACCAATATTGTGTGTGGTTTTAAACCTTTAATGTTTAACAATACATGTATTAAGATACACATAGATGGTGAATGTCCTCTAGCCTGACATTATAGGTAGGTATTTTGTAACACATAACCAGTTTGTGGTAAAGATGAGATATCTATACGACTTAGGCTTACAGAGTTTGTCATTTCATTCACTTAAGAAAAGCCAGAAAGGATAGGAAGTGATTAGTTATAAGAATGACATCACACTACACTACATGACAATAAACGTATTGAGACCTACTGGTGATTAAGAAAACTGTGTGTTAATGACTGAATGTGTCGGCAATAATTTTTCTGTGTAAGAGCCCTGATATATCGCTATATACTTGTCTATTAAACATCAATAACTTGTGGTCAATAATTTATTACTTACCCAGATGTACAAATAATAAAGAAAACACAAATACATGTATTACTATATTGCTATGATATACAAAGACTGAACCTTTAATATTTATTTTTATATCCACATATTTTATTAATAGGCATGCAGATTTAAATCTTAAAACAAGAAATAAAAATATTTTAAAGTGCAGAGAATGTTGTAAACATGTTTCTAGGTCAGGGCAAATTCTATTTACGTAAAATCTACGCATTAATGATGATAAATAACAATGTTGTGTTTTATTGATAACTTTTTTTTTTTCAGAATTGAGAAGCACATTTAAAAATGATCAGTTTTACATTTTCTGTAATTTAGCTATCTATGTTCAGTTTTTTTCTGTATTGATTTTACTGCATATAATGTTACATTGTAGATTGCCATTTATTGCGGGTTTATCTGCTACTCTTAAGGCCGGGACCTCTAATTCTAGCGTGACCTAAACAATAAATTTGGTCTTATTTTTCCAGTGATCCAACAGGAGAAGAGAGAAGTTAACATTAGGAAATCCTTGACAGAGTTTGAGAAAGGCAATCTAAAGCATGTACAGACAGAGGAGAAAAACCCGCTACCAGACGCCTCAGGTTCGAATTCATAAACATCAAATACGTCTTGGTTAGACTTCATACACTGTAGGATCGCATACCCTAGACTCAAATCATATATATAAGGAACAAATGTCTAAATATTGCATATCATAGTCTTGGTCATCAAACACAAAGCTCAGAGTTCATAGTTACACATTAAATATGTTATTATTGATACCATCGTTGGAAACCCCCGGCTGGTTATGCTTCGTTCCTCTCTCCATCACATGATGGAGAGAGAGAGAATCGTAATCAGCCGTGGGTTTCCGATGTATTGATACATGATATAAAGTAAAATGAAATCTTTTAGCTGTCAGATTCATTTACAATGCATTGAGATTGATATGTAAGTGGATGAACAATTTGTTTAAGAGTTGAGTTGAAAAATACCAGAGGAATATTATGATTTTGATGGTTACTTCCTAGTATATAAGATGTTGTTAGATAGGTGTATGTTTTGTGAGAATTTGTCCCATAAGAGACTATTTGGATGGTTAAGATTTCCTTGTTAAATATAGTACTTCAATATACAAATATACAAATAGTTATATGAGAATATACTGAAACATACAATACATTAATGTATCAGATATCACACATCGTGTAATTATATACTGCATTATTTTGTTTGAATTACTTTTATTTCATACAAAGATAAATGTGTTTTAGTTTGATACGTAGGGCAGGATAATCCATATTGTAGAGCAACAATAAATAAAATCCCAATTAAGAATAAGATGACTTAGAGATGTATAAAACTTCCTAGATATAAGATTTTTAAACAGGTGCTTTTGTCTTGTATGGCATGCACAGATGTCACTGATAAGATTTCCTTGTGGAATTTTGTATCCTGCATGTGTATGCTTCAGGTTTTACTTTCCTCTTATATTTGGTATAATCTATAATACATTTATGATTTTGTATTCTGTGATTTCTAAAATCAATTTCGTTGTTCAAGTGTACATTATGTGTTTCCCAACACAAATGACTAATGAACAATATCTTTAGACCCCAAATCTGTATTTGTACCAGTATTTGCATTAATTACAGGATCAGCTTTTGAAAAAATAAAATTTAGCCTTTTTTAGCATTTAAATTACCATTACCATTAAAAGAAGTCATTCCTTTGCAGATTTATAACATTTAAATGTAATTAAATGGTTTAAAACTTCATACAGAATTTTGCAAAAAAAATTTAAATAATGTTAAGTGAGTCCTACCATGATGATAGCATGACCGCGCTTCTTCTTATTGAATGTTTATGTTACCTTATTTTGAAGAAGAAAATCTTAAATTTGCATGTTGTTTGTGTTTATTAGTGATCGTCAAAGAAAAGAAGGAAAATGAGTTTCGCTTGTCGATCACAGAGTTTGACAAAGCTCAACTCGCCCCCACCGAAACTCAAGAAAAAAATCCACTACCACCAGTAGAAGGTTTGCATGCTGGCACTCAGTCAAGCTCACTTGAGCTAGCTCAGTCAAAAAACTCAAAACAAATTCTTTCCACTGATAATCTACTCTTTGTCTTAACTTTGCCAGCAATATAAACACTTACTGGAATGAAAAAGTAATTACACCATTTCTTTAATTTTTTTCTTTGAAATTTAAAAAAAACGGCATTATAATTTTAACGGTTCAACATTATGCACTTAAAATGACAAGTAACTCTTTGTTTTCTTGCAATAATGTGGCATAATGTAGACTGTATTGTATTAAAAACTCATTATTCTTCATTTAATGAAACTAAAATCCGCTTGTGATAATTCAGGGACACCTTGTTTACTACCTTACGTAACATTGTTAGTTAAAAACCCTTATTATACAGTCTACTGCTTTCTATTTGCTGTGTTGTTGTATATAAGTAAATCATTGAATGTTTTGTATAATTTTTTTCTGCTTGTTATTGTTTTATCAATTTTTTGCTTGCTTTATGCATGTCGCCCTCTCTTTGTACAGTTATAGGACAGGAAAAGCAGGAAGTAGAATTCCGATCTGAAATATCTGAGTTTGACAAATCCCAGCTCTCACACACAGAAACAAAAGAGAAAAATCCCCTCCCCCCTCCAGAAGGTTTGATTTTAGATTATTTACTCCCAAGCAGGTTTGGACAGCAAAGTTTTTGAATTGATTTAATTCAAAATAGTATTGCACAGCCAGTTGTAATTGTACTGCATACAGTTATACTTAAGTATCTTTTATTTGAAATCTCACATGATTTATCTGAAATGGACACCCCTTACCACCTTTTCTTTTTGTATTCTAAAAACAATTTTCCTTTATTTTGAAATTTCTTGGTCTTATTGATTTCAAGTTTGACTGTAAATGTAAAATTAATCCAGAAATCACAAACATTGATGTATTACTCAGAACTCAGTGGTAATTTCAAAATAAGAATTAGGTCCTACATGTAAATTCATCAGACTGGAATATTTGCCCATTTTCATCACTTTCCATTTGCTTTATGCAATATAGCTTGCATGATAGAGGCCTGACCGCATGCCACATAACATCAAATTATTCAGATTTTGTCTTATCAAATATACTAACTCTATTTTAACAAACGAAATTTATTTTTGGATTTACTTTTGCAGCTATTGAATTGGAGAAGCAATTAGAAGAACATAAAAAAGGCATTGAGAATTTCAAGAAAGATGATTTGAAGCATGCCGAGACGGAGGTTAGGGCCAGGTTACCATCAAAAGAAGGTAAATATTGTCATACAGACAAGCTAATATAGACACACTAACAGACACACAGACAGTAAAACAGAGACGGAGGTTAGGGCCAGGTTACCATCAAAAGAAGGTAAATATTGTCATACAGACAGACATACAGACAGTAAAACAGAGACGGAGGTTAGGGCCAGGTTACCATCAAAAGAAGGTAAATATTGTCACAGACAGACACACAGACAATAAAACAGAGACGGAGGTTAGGGCCAAGTTACCATCAAAAGAAGGTAAATATTATCACAGACAGACACACAGACAGTAAAACAGAGACGGAGGTTAGGGCCAAGTTACCATCAAAAGAAGGTAAATATTGTCATACAGACAGACACACAGACAATAAAACAGAGACGGAGGTTAGGGCCAAGTTACCATCAAAAGAAGGTAAATATTGTCACAGACAGACACACAGACAGTAAAACAGAGACGGAGGTTAGGGCCAGGTTACCATCAAAAGAAGATAAATATTGTCATACAGACAGACACACAGACAGTAAAACAGAGACGGAGGTTAGGGCCAAGTTACCATCAAAAGAAGGTAAATATTGTCATACAGACAGACACACAGACAATAAAACAGAGACGGAGGTTAGGGCCAAGTTACCATCAAAAGAAGGTAAATATTGTCACAGACAGACACACAGACAGTAAAACAGAGACGGAGGTTAGGGCCAAGTTGCCATCAAAAGAAGGTAAATATTATCACAGACATACAGACAAACAGACATGGACAAGCCTAATAGAGGGCAATATATTGTTACAGACAGACACACAGACAATAAAACAGCCAAACCACAGAAACGTGTTAATGTGCTAATAGTTTAAGAATGTTTTCAAGTTTTGTGTGAGTTATTGGTCTGTAAATCACACAGAATTGTCGCTTAGGCAAACGAAAATTTATTTTTGGATTTACTTTTGCAGCTATTGAAATGGAGAAGCAATTAGAAGAACATAAAAAAGGCATTGAGAATTTCAAAAAAGATGATTTGAAGCACTTCATGTGCTTCATAGCGCTTCATGTTATATGCCTTCTTGCAATTTTGTGTGATTTACAGACCAATAATTCACATTATACTTATAAACATTCCTTATATACATTTTAGATGTTTGAAAGCACCAAAAATATATTCAATATTTTAATTTCTCGCTGCCCTATATGGTTGCGTTTTTTTCTAGTGTTGCTATAACCTCATGGTGATGACACATTAGTGCGAGTTTCTCCATGTATATTTCTATGCATGAAATTGTATTCAAATCAATTTCACAGTTGGCTTAGTAGAAAAATACAGCGAATATTAAATGTAGTAATAAGTATTGTCACAGACCCTGACTGACACAAACTAAATTATAGGAAGCAGCTAAAATAAGTCTAATAAATGGTAATCTGTTCTGACTATTTTTTGCATGTTAAAACAGCTGTATTAAATTTTTGTGATTTTATAATACCATTATTGGTGTTCCTATTTAATTTTCGCATTTTATTTTTTTCCCTTTCCAGATATTGCGCTAGAGAAGGCCTCAGGTGACAAGTAAGGACAATCCTGGCAGGAGATCAAGGCTTTGCTGCGTAGAACAGGAAATCGCGAGTAGCTTATCACTAGTGATCACATGACCAACTCTGTTTATGATTCCGTGAATAACTGATGAATGCATGAAAGTATTGTAGGTTTGAAAATGGTGTAACTTTTATAAAATATTACAAATGTTAATATGATATTGATATTTTTTTGTTTAAAAATCTTTTCATTGTTAACGATCCATGTGCTTGTACCGTTACAGTTCTCTTTCTCCGAATATTTTCTACTTTGTGACAAGTTGTAACATTTAATTATGGATGTGGCCTGACAGCTCTCTAGTTCTGTGACATGGTTTTTATCTGATAGTTAGACTGTAGGTTATAATAGGAGAGATAACCCAGCTGTAATACAGATATTGACATAATGAACCAGAATCTCAAACTTTACTCGTGAACAAATACCTTCGTCCAAACAATTAGCTTCGTTAAACGTAATTCAGGGAGATTCTTAGCTGATTGTCTCTGATATTTAAAATGCTAGGGACTGATAAATATTTCGTATTTTTTAAGTTTATTTTTTTTTATTTGAACTACGCAGTGATTTAACCCAGAAGTGCAATTTTAGCAGGAGATATTTTGAGTTGTGCAATGATCAAAAACTATATCGCAGCTTGTGAAGTGTTTAGTTAGAATTATAGTCAGTAGAAATTCCAGTATACTTAGTGCTGTTATTTATGTCCTGTCGATTTTCAATCACTTGTCTTCCGTATAATCGTGTTTATAGTTTAAGTCTTCGCATTAGAATTGTCTAGTCAGATTATTACACAGCAATATTGTCTGGTGACAGAATACGGCCTTATATAGTCACTGTATAGCAACAAATGTTGAACGTTCTCTGGTTAAATATTTTTGTTGGAGTTATTAGTTACATTTTTTAATGTTGAGTTACATTTTTGATGTTCAGTGCAGTTGCCTATTTTCGTTTTTTCTCCATCAGTTATATGTTTTGCTCAAATCATTTGAAGCCAAGCTTTTGTCAGTTTGATAAGGGGAGGTCACTCTACTGAAATTCTGTGAAATCTTTAGCACTAGCTTTCTATACTTCTTGTTTCTGTAACCAATTAACCATATACTACACAAATACCTGTATATCTGCTACTTCACATTTAAATCGCTAGGACAACTTGTGACTGTTTTCAAGTAATGTCAAAGCATATTATATTTTTTTGCTAATAAAAAATAAATTTATATATTTTGTTTATTTTTTATGCAAAGTAAAGATATATACAAGATTCACAAGAGAAGGACAGTGATTTGCAAAATATTCTTGGTGGAATGTAATGCTGACTTAAGGTAGTTAAGTAAAAATAAAAGTAGCTCAAGATGAACACATGGATGGCGTAAGCACTTTTGACACACTGAATCGGGCTAAGTTGATACCGGTTATATCTAGGTCCTTGGATTTTCATGTTAGTTTGGTTTAGAAGCTGGTACACTTACATCGTCTAATTAAGCTGTGTTTTAAGACGTAAGGAAGTCTATATAAGTCTCCCTATGAGTTTTACTGGTGTGATCGTATCCTACGACCTTGATCTCTGTCCCGCCAAAAATGACCTCGAGGTCGACTGCGCGCTCCTTGTCCCCCGTCATATCCGGCATCTCCACCACCAGACACCCGCACTTCTCCACGCTCTCCTCGTCTGTGTAGTGAACGTTCTTCTTCCCCGACTTAAAAAACTCGAATATGATCCCTCTCTGATTGGTAATAATAGGTGTGTAGGTTTCCCGCCAAACTTCATTATGTCCGATGACCTCTCCGCACTCGGCCCACACCTGTAGGATGTTTTTGCACAGCACTAGTTCGTCTGATACAACCTTCAGATCATCTCGATGTTTGCCGTCCTCAAACGGTAGATAGGACCCAACTCCGTACGTGTAACGACATATTCTCTGACAGATGGAGCTAGGATCGCAGCCGAACGCCACGGCGCCTTTCACAACCGCCAAACTCGCTTCTTCAGGCACAAGAACGGTAACTCTATCACTGAACGCTTTCTTAATGGAAGACTGTAGCTTAGCAGACTCCGCAAACCCTCCCACGAGAAAAATGTAGTTTAGGTCGCGGAGCTTAGGACGTTTTAGCAAGTTCTCAATGTGATCGTTGATTTGGTCAAGAGGGTCTTTAAAAAGAGAGTCGACTGTTTCGGAGGATAACACTAGCTTTCCCGAGGAAAACTTGACTGCGGGGCCCGATTTCTCGGCGTAGTGTTTTATGCAGTCTTGTACAGATTTGCCCTCGTGGGAGAAATTACAGAAGTTGTAGGGAAGGGAAACTCTTACGCTCTCACTCTCGCCGCGTTTCTTGATTTCAAAATCTTGCAATAATTCCACATAGTCTTTCGGGAACTGGGAGTGAAAAGCCTTAATGAATTCCTCTCCAAAGATTCGAAACAAGAGGTTAATAAACTGCTGGTCTATGACGGTACCACCCCACGCTCCTCCCGTAGCGCGGAAAAGTTCGCGGATTTTCCCGTCCTTCCTCACTTTGTGTGCCACAATGTCTATCGTCCCACCTGTGAGAGAAAAATCGAGATTAATTTCATTCCTCCCATCAGTCTGATTAACTTTACATTATATTGAATCTACAAACCTCCGGCGTCTACTACTATGTATTTGGTTCCTGGTTCAAATGTTGGTTTTGGCGTCTGATTATCCGTATTGTTTATAAAGCTGTTGGCCTGAATGGTTCTGCAGGTCAAGGACGCAGCCTCGGGTTCAAGGGCGATCAGTAGCTGGTTACTATGGGTATTGTCAATCAGTTCTGCCTAAATTACAGAGATAAATAATATTAATAATGGCTTATATTGATTTCATACATATATCTGTGTTCATTTATTTTTATTGACACTTGAAATATTTGCTTGAAAATGTCAGAAGTCAAAATAAACGTTTGTAAATGTTAAAACATGTATTATGCATGGGTCATTATGCAGTTGCTTTTGATATCAATTTAGTGAACACACCTTGTAAGCTGCTTCTCTCATGAACTGTTTGGCATTTTCGTCCCAGATTGCTGGTACAGTAATGACCCATCGAATGGTTTTGAGGTCCGGTTCGTAACCCATAGCTCCCGCCAGCTGACGTAACAGGTGCCCCTTCATAAAGAGCAGAGATTGGCTGAAGACGTCCACTGCCAATTGTTCCTTGCCGTTAACGTCTTGAACGACGATCTCAGTACTCAGAATCTGAAAAAATAGATAAAGAATACTCAGTAGAGGCATTTTTATCAAATGCAGTTTTATCAAATCTGAATGAGGTATATGATACCTCTTGCCAAAAGTAATCTATCTCTACATGCAGTATTTAGACTGATTTAACAATTATTAAGAGAGTCGGTAAGGATGGAAAATCAACGTAAATCTGTACAGTTAAACCGTAATGACGTACCTTGTTATCGTACAGTTTCATTTTAAAGCGGTCAAAATAGTAATGTTCTGCGGCGTCTTCCTCGGTCAGGTCGCTGTACTTGGATACGGCTTCGAATCCAAAAGCTGCAAACTCGCCATTGGGTTTCAATAGAAGACACGTGGGTGTTTTCTGTAGAAGAAATCCCTGCGTCTGTCCCCAGTTCCGATTGGTGTATATGGTCTCCTTGTTAGACGTCATGGCGTAGGCGTACCCGCTGAAGGTGGTCCCGAAGTCAATGGCGGCGATGATTTTGTAGGCCTCGTCCTCCGGACTGACGGGTGCGGCGGTGTCTGGACAAGTATCTTCGTTACTGGACTCGGAAATCTTGTGCTCGGTGGTGGTGGTGGGTTTTGTCTCTTCTTCCGCCATTTTGGCTGCACTTTGATTTCCTTTTGTTTGAACTTTCAAACGGTAGTTGATTTGCCAATTAAGTCAGAACAGCCAGTTCTTGGAGATGGGAATACTACCTGTATATTTTTTGCATATCCTGACACTGAACTTGATGCAGAGTCGTTTTGCAGTTATGCTTATGGACCGAATTCCTGAAGCGAGTAGCATCGGTTTTCCTTTGTTAAGTTATGGGTGGTTAGGATCGATAAAATTAAGGTATGGATCTGTGCACTGGAGTCAACACAGTAAGGATGCCAGCTACACAGTCCAATCAATAGTATGAATCACACGTGAGTTTGAAATGGTGTCCCAAAGACAATGCGCCAAATTCTTGTCATCGAAAGCGATATGCACCCAAGGACGCAAACCACCCATGTTCTCAAAGGATGATGGGAAGGAATGAGGAAATCACGAATTAATTACAGATTTATTTGAAAGGTAAGGGTTCTGTGCCATTCATCCTGGTTACTCTTTCGTTAAATGAATAAATTACATCTGTTAAATTTTTGTTGCTAAGGAAATCGATACCCATGCAGTATTGTTGAAAACTAGTAATCGTGAATTATGCAAAATTATGTCTGAAAATTTGGTAATCGATGCTTGCATAATTTGCAAAATACGTATAAATTGCTGAATGTAATTATTTTTTAGGGATATAAGAGGAAGATTCTTGGGCCTTTGTAGTCGGCTTCTATCGCTGAGATTTTGAAGTATTTTTTCTATTGATTTTTTTTTGTCCATGTAACGTTCTACGTTTTCTGTAGCTGGTGATCTGATGCCATCCTAGTGTTGCTATGTTAATGTCCGAGGGGTTTTCTTATTTGCAGAATTAATTCGTGTAAAGACAATGGCAGTTGAGTCTAAAAAGAAAGACTTGCTGGCAGACGCTAAGAACTTCTGTGATGGGCTTTCTAATGTGTTTATGCTTAAAAAGAGAGATCCTCAAACCAGGCATTTGCTGGAAAAAGCCAAATTATTGATCGAGACTTTGATATCGGAGAATCAGCGAGCGACGAGCAATGTTCCGAGCACTCCCCGGGGGTCAAGGGCGGCGGGGGGCATGGGTCAGCTCTGGGTTAAATTGGACGAACTGAAGCGTGAAAACGAGGAACTCCGGAAACAGATAGGTAAGCCAGCCGATGACCGACCGGCCATTCCCCCCAAACCGTCACAGGGCCCCGGGGACGTCATAATCGCAGACCTCCACAAAACAAAGAAGGAGAACGAAGCACTCAAGGCCAAGGTCGAGAAACTGGAGACACAGATCAAGCAGATGGACTCCGTGGCCTTCAACGTACAGGACGAATACAAGCGAGCAAAGATTGCCCTGGAAACGACCCAGAGATCCATGGAAACCGTCCTCAAGGACTATCGGCAAATGGAGGATGAGCTTAAACTGGCCAAGAAGGAGAGCGAGACTCTCAAGCAAACGTACAGTGCCTATTAAATAGTAACATAAAATGATCTGAGATTTTATAATGTTGTTAAGTTCTTTTTAAGCATGCCCACTTATTACTAATTTTAGGTTAGCTAAGTCGATGCCGTTGATAGGTCGGACAGACAACCGTCATGTGGAGAACATCAGTGAGAAATGCCGGCCCTCCAATATCGCTCAGCTGTATAACACACTGGAGAGTCAGGAGTGGGTCGACGCCAAGGAAACGCTGGAGGAAATCACCGACTTCGAGGAGGAGGATATCGTACAGTTCCTGTGCGCATGCGTCATGGTAAAACAGTTCCTCAACTATTTTTTCTGTAACAGTATGATAAGTTTACGGTTTAGAGGATCAGACATGCTATTAAGGCATTTTTCAACAATCTAAATCTATACATTAAAATTGTCCGATATTGTAGGCAGCTTTTCAGAGTTGTAAGGATGTGTACGATGCCCTGAAAGCAACTATCGCAGAACTTCTACGAAAGCCAACATTGGTGGTAAGACCATTAAACCATTAGAAATTTTAAGAAATCTGTAATTGGTGATTAAGCGTAATTATGAATATCAGAACTTCTAAGAAAATCTTCATTGTGGTAAGCACAGTTATATACTGTGTATCAGATCATCAGTTAACGGGTGTATGTCATTTTTGTCATTCTGACTTTCACGGTTCCTAGACAAGTTTAAATGTGTTTTATAGATCACAGATAATTTGGAAAGGGAGCGAAGTGGGAAGAGCAAACTACCAGACCACATAACAGAGAGCATTGGACATCAGCTAAGACAACACTTTGATGACATCGACTCTGACGTCATTTTTGGTGTAAGTTAAAAAAAAAACCCTGCCCATATTATACGCATGCATGACAATGATCTTTAGCTACTTATTTTATCACCAAAAAGTAAAATGCTGATAGAAGGTTTTTTTCATACTAATTGTCAGGCCAGTTTTTTTTCAAATTTTCTACCTACATTTTGAAATATCCCCTCATGTCAAAGAGCAAACGGCGGGTGTGACCGGTCGGCAGGGGATGCTCACTCGTCCATGGCACCTGATCCCACCTCTGATGTTTTAGAGGTCCGTGTTTGCTCTGTTTCTGTGATTTCCTTTGTTCGGATTGTTATTTGAGTCTATATATTGTTCGTTATTCTACGTATTTCACGAAGCAGATTGAGGCCAGGACTTGAATTTACATAATTCTCTTAAAGATTTATATATTGTTTGTGGATGTTTTAAATATTGAATGTCCTATATTTTTTCAGATGATGTGTGAAAAGCTGACATTAGAATTTACGGAATTTGTACAACGACACCCACACGAAAATAAGGTGGTCCAGAAATTCATGAATCGGTGTGCCAAGGTCACATGGCAGATGGTGATTCAGCATCCTCCCATGTGGCTCTCAGTGGGGGATCACGAATTTGATGATGAAAAACACAAGTTATGGTGGTCATGTGACCACACCGCAGCCAAAAAAATTAACTTTTTCGTGTGGCCCGCATTATATGATTATAAGCGTGGGAATTTACTTATTAAAGGTTGTGTGTATGCCAGCTAATGTATAGCCATGACTTAATTTATTTGTAATGAAGTATAATTTATTTGGACCCCGTATTATATTTCATTTAACTTTTCATTGTGCGTCTTATTGTACAGAAAAGATCAAAATTGATGAATGGAGTCTGTATTTGTCATATTGTTTATTTTGCCAGTAAAACTGCTTTTAACGTATTCTGTCACTAGTTATGTTCCCCAAACGAAGTTGGGGAACATATTGTTTTTACTCTGTTTCTTATTATTATTATTAAGGTCTTCCGTCTTCACGGAAGACCTTATAGTGATTCTATTGTTTCTTATTTATTATTATTATTATTATTCTTTTTTTGACAAAATTTTGTGCAGGCAATTTCTCGAAAACTATTCAGCGGTTTTCCATGAAACTTTCACAAAATATGTATCATTATATGAAGTTGTTACATCCGTAGAGAAATTTGGAAAATTCGATTCCGGTGCCAAGTTATGGACAATTTCCTGATTTTAAAATGCGATTTTGTCGCGCACTTTTATCGAATATGGCCAAGGATATGAACTGGAGACTTATTGGAGATGATAGATCATGACTTTCTGGTTTGCAGAATCACCTTTTTGTGCGTCGTCAGTACTTCCGGTTGTAACGATATGTAAATTAAAAAAAATCGAATTCTCTAACTTTTTTGTTTTGCAATATTTTTCATTTATTTTTGGTATGTTAAAAGAAACCCTCCCTATAATGCTTACTATCTAATTTGTTTGAATATTGGTAAATCTATAATCTAGATATTAGCATTCAAAAATCTGAAGCGGGTCCAAAATGGCGGCTGTCTCTGTCAACGCCGACATTTCGCAATAGGGGTTTACGGAGTCAGCCGAGCGTTTGCTTGAACGAAAATAACATAAGGATAAATGAAATGTAAAGGAATAGTTGGATTGTCACGTCGTAGTTACGTTGCAACTCTGTGTCGAACTAACGTCTTCTATAATTGGTTTTGACTGGTTTACAAAGTAGAAAAATAAAAGACTAAATGTGCTGATGAAATTCGATACCTAATATCTTTTGCGCACAACGGAAAAACAGATCTCAAATCATATTTATAAGTAATACTTTCTCAACTAAGAATATCGATGATTTGTAAGCATAAAACTTAACGACTGTTTTTACCATACACATTTGTGTCATATTAAATAAATAGAAAAGACAAAAATAAGAAAAACATTTTTAAAGATCGGTGAATGGAGTTTATATTAGCATTCTTGTCTCAAAGAAATGATTCAAGTTATTGAGCGTAATTGGTATCGATTCCTTGACCGTCATAGGGCGAGCCATGTTTTTCGGCGAAACATTTAAACTTTTTCATGAAAGCTTAACTAATCGCGATAGTTCACTTTGGGGATAAGCAGGAAATTAAAAAAAAAGTTAAAAATTTATAGCCGGTTCACTGATTTTGTGTTACTTGCTTACATACAATATTGATTTTGTGAAATGTGTTTAATATACATTCTAAACCTCAAATTTTAGGCTATAAGAACGTTTCGTAATTTCATTGAAGCTAACACACCTATTTTATAGAACATTCCAAAGAAAAGGCACGAAGATTAACTTGTGGCGTTTGGCACGACATTTTGAATAGTGACCGGCCTTTCATTATTCTAAGAAAGAAGCGCTGTTGCAGATGTATATACAATTAGATTTAGAGAGGAGGTTCCAATAACGTAGTATTTAGCGCGTTGGATTTTCATGCTGGGGATTTGGGTTCAGTCCCCCTTGTGTGCAATTTTTATTTACTTATTCAGTTGACGTTACGTTTTTTTCTTCGGAATCGGACGGAAGACCTCTCGTTGCTCGCAACGAGTCGTTTCTAGTTATTATTATTTTTCTTCTTCTTCCTGGGTACTTTTTTGTCCGGGAATGATCTTGTAAACTGTTCGTCCGAGGTAGGTAAAACCTTTTTAGGGTAAGTAGACATGTTATGCAGATTTGCGGAATCAAGGTCATTTTGCGCGCACGTGCTTGCAAGAGCGCGCACGTGCAACACTTGAAATAACCAATATAATAGATATAGTCGGAACTTTTCTATTTTTTGATAAAATGCTTTGAAACTCATAATGTAAGGATACATTAGTAGTATAGACAAGATGGCATGGTCAAAATAGTAAGATCTCACGCGCATGCACGTGCGCTTCGCTCTGATTGGCTGAAACTAAAGTCTCAATATCTTTCTTGTTTCTTGTCATAATCTTTTGAAATTTTGAACATGGTCCTACATTATGAAGATCTACAGCATGATATATTAAAATTTTAATAAAAGCATGCGCATGCGCGCGTGCTGTAATCTGATTGGCTAAAACTTTAAATGGCTATATCTCGTTTGTTTTTTGACGAAATGCTTTGAAATTTAACACATAGTCATGCATTAAGATATCCTAACATATGATATAGAAAATATTCATGAAATCACGCGCATGCACGTGTGCTGCAATCTGATTGGCTGAAACTTCAAATGGCTATAACTCTCTTGTTTTTCAACCAAACAGGATGGGATTTAGAACTTGGATAAATATAAGGGACTCCTACAAGAAGGTGTAGTCATTATGCATGTGCTTGCACGTGCGTGCACGTGAAATGAGTAAAATAAAAAATACACTCGAATGAGTGCATTTTTTAATACTTTTGGATTAAATGCTTTGATATTATTAAAATTTTAGATAGTGTAGACAAGATAATATGGTCGTTACGCACATGAACACGCGTGCAATGCCTATTTTTTAATATATTTTGTATTTTTTTTTGCAAGACCTTGATTAAGTCTAAATTCCATAAAGTATTTCTTATTTAATAGAGATAACAGGGAATATGGCACCAAAAGGGAGTTGGGGAGCGTTTGGGGAACATCTGTAACGGTCCCCGTTACAATTAGCACTAGTTCAGTTTCTGTTTTTCTCGATCATTGGAAAGAGGAAAACCAGTTCAGGCACGTGGCAGGGCCAGTAAGGCTACCGTATCATCAGAGACTTGTTGTATTATTGACCATGGCATTGCATAGCAATCCGGATATTTGACCGTTCACATTTGAGTTGTATAATTTTGAGACTAGAGAGTTCCGATAATAAAATGAAGTAAAACGTGCTTGAAGTCGAAGTCATTTGTCAAGAGAATTGTTTGCATTATTATATGTTGCCAAGCGAGTAAACATACATATAACATGGTGGAGAATTTAAAGAAGAAGATTGTGAGTTAACATCTGATTAGACATTTTGTGAGTGTGTGACAGAAAGTGAGAAAATCACGGGGGAAGGCGCGACTGACATTTTGCCGCCATTTTCAGTCGAGGTGTGTATCATCGGAATTGATCGTCATGCACATATAATACTTGACTCTTTACCACTGTACAATGGCTACCTATCAAGACGATACTAATCCTCCTGAAATTAGTCGAGTTCTACCATCCCTAGACGATTTGTGTAATACACCTGCACCAAAGTCACACATGTTTAGGGAGGAACCATTGCACCTAACATATGACTGTCCCCCACATCAATCTACCCCATACGTAGAACCGCCAAGGGCACCTGTACTCCATTCGGCACCAATCATTCCCATTACCCTTACAAAGTTTAGTGGGTTTGCCCATGAGGATGGAGAGAAGTTTTTATCGGACTTCAAAGCCATCATGACTTTACAAGGAATCACACAGGATCATCCCAAAGTTTCTGCTTTTTCTCTATATTTAGCAGGACCAGCCTTTTTGTGGTTCGATACGTTACCAGTCATGACAAAATCATCCTGGCACCGGATTGAAGCCGAATTTAAACTTAAGTATGTGTCCTTCACTCTCCATATGAATGGATCTCTCATAGCGGACACTGAGGCATTTAACAGCCTCAAACTGAAAACTACTGTTGAGGAGTTTTATTTCCACATACTCAAACTAGGAAAAAAACTCAAGAAGTCACCGCTTGATTTGATGACGAAATTCATTGACGGGCTTCCGACCCAGCTACAATTTTTTGTTCGGGCAGGGAGACCTACCGACATTGTATTTCAACTGATAGAGACAGTTCCTTGCTCCGCAGTGCACATGTAACTGATATTGACAGTATAATTGTGATACATGTACTGATATTGACAGTTGTGTACCTGCAGACAATGTGCGTGAATCTAACAAGCTCTGTGCTTATGATTTTACTTCCACTGATAGTGACAGTGTTTTGCCCATTACAAATTATTGTATTCACAATAATAATGTTCACAATAATAATACCTCAACTTGTACTGATACAGACAGTACTGATATTGTCAATGATGAATGTATAAATGTTAGACCTGATGTTTCAAAGTTTTTGTACATGCCAGGGTCAGTGAAACGTAAAAAATTCTGCTTTGTTAGACAGCGGTAGTACAATCAATATTATGTCATATGCATTGTTTAGTTGACTGCCAAAGAAATCTTGTACCCCATTACTTACCAGAGATTGTTGTTGCTAGTGGTCAGAGAGTTGACAAAGTGGGTACTTCATGTGTGAAACTTAGAGTTCCCTCTGGGAAGCATTCAGTTCTTGTTTATGTACTTAGACATACCTCACATCCTTTGATTCTAGGTACAGAATATTTAAGATCACATAAAATAGTGTTGAATTTTGAAAATTGTTCTGTGCAATTTCAAAACTGTAATCTGAAATGTGATGCATATGTTGAATTACCACCTAACAAAGAGAGTATTGTACTATTTTTGAGTACCTTAAGATCTGTTTTTGTTGGTACTCAAGGTATTTTTAAGACATCAAACAAAGCATTGAAATTAGGATTGTTGGTGGCTAGAGCAATTGTTACTGTGTCATATAATCATGTAATTTGTTTGAAAGTTTGTAATACTACTACTTCTTGTATTATATTGAAGAAAGGGGACCTTTTAGCCAAACTGTCACCGTTATAAGATGACTCGTGTCATGTTATCTCATTATAGGGTAGTAGACAAACTTATGACCAATGTAACAATGTAGATTTCAAGTCTAACGCAGTTCAGACATTTATGTAAAATTTTGATATAGACAAACAGTGTTCACATTTATCTGATTCTCAGATATCTGAATTGTCACAAATACTTTATGAACATCAAAATTTTTGTTACAAAAGAAAATCCAAGTTTAGGGTTCACCACACTGGTCTAACATCATATCCATCTTGAACCAGACTC